CCTATTATGAGAATGTAATTGTGGTGTTGGCGAAGAATATTGAATATACCATCGACTGCCAAAAGAAGTAACAATTCTGTCTTGGAAGAACAACCAGAATGCTACTTAGAAGCAAGGATGGCGAGACTATGTCTCAGATACTTTGGACATGTTGTCAGGAGGGATCAGTCGCTGGAGAAGGACATCATGCTTGGTAAAGGAGAGGATCAGCGAAAAAGAGAAAGACCCTCAACGAGATGGATTGACACAGCAGATGCAACAGTGGGCTTAAGCATAGCAACAATTGTGAGGATGGCGCAGGTGCGGGCAGTGTTTTGTTTTGTTGTGCATAGGGTCGCTATGAGTCCGACTCGACACCACCTAACAACAGCAACAAGCTTCAGTATATATCCGTTATCAGTTGCTGCGGAGTCAGTTCCAATTCATGGCAGCCCCATTTTTGTCAGAATAGAGAAATAGGCCCCTTAGGGTTTTCAGTGGCTGATTTTTCAGAAGTAGATCACCAGGCCTTTCCCCCATGGCGCCTCTGAGTGGACTTCAACTGCCAAACTTGCAGTTAGCAGCTGAGATTTACTTATTGATTAGATTATTTATGCCTTTTTTTCCCATCCTTATTTATTTTTGGTCCACTTATGTGTCTTTTGTTGAGAGTGGTATATTAAGCTTTCCAGTTATTAATGTTTTAAGTATATTTCTTGCTTCTGTTATATTACTTGCTTGATAAAGGTGGCTGCTGTGTTATTTGGTGTATAGATATTCATGACTGATACAAACTTCATTGCAATTATGGCTCTTAGAATTAAAGTGTCCTTTATCATGTTTAGGGAGCTCTGGTGGTGCAATGGTTAAATGGTTGGCTGTTAACCGAAAGGTTGGCCGTTTGAACCCACCGGCCTGTCTGTTGGAAACTCTGGTGGCATAGTGGTTAAGTGCTACGGCTGCTAACCAAAAGGTCGGCAGTTTGAATCCACCAGGCGCTCCTTGGAAACACTATGGGGCAGTTCTACTCTGTCCTGTAGGGTTGCTGTGAGTTGGAACTAGCCTCTCTGTGGCAAAAAGATGTGACAGTCTGCTTCCGTAATGATTTCAGCTTTCGAAACCCTACCTACGGGGCAAGTTCTTTTCTGTCATATGGGGTCACTATGAGTCGGAATTGACTCGATGGCAGTGAGTTTGGGTTTTTTGGTTTATGTTTAATGCATTTTGACTTGGTCTCTACTTCATGTAATATCAGGATCATAGTCCCTGCTTTTATTATTTCCATTTGTGTAGTATTCCTGTGCTCATCCCTTTATTTGTAGGCTATCTGAATCACTTTGTTTTAAAAACAAAAAAACCAGACCTGTTGCCATTGAGTTGATTCCGACTCATAGCAACCCTAGGTGTCTCTTATATTTAGTATATAGTTAAGTCTTGCTTTATGAACCAAAATTAAAATATTTTTCTATTAACAGCTATGTTAAACTCAGTCACATTTAATTATATGACCAGTATGTTTGGTCTTAACACTGTCATAGTATTATTACTATTTTTTTATAATTGCAATTGCTTTATGTTATGTTTGCCCTGTGTCTTAGTTATCTAGTGCTGCTATAACACAAATGCCACAGGCTTTAACAAACATAAATTTATTTTCTCACAGATTAGGAGGCTGGAAGTCTGAATTCAGAATGTCGGCTCTAGGGGAAGGCTTTCTCTTTGCGTTGGCCCTGGAGGACGGGCCCTGTCTCTTCAGTTTCTTCTTCCTGGTTCCTTGGAGATCTCCATGTGTCTTGGCATCTATCTTACCTCATCTCTGTGTCCTATCTTGCTTGTTTAATCACCTTTATATCTCAAAAGAGATTAACTTAAAACAACCCTACACTAATCCTGGTTCATGAACATAACAAAGGTAACCCATACCCAAATGGAATCATAACCACAGGCATAGAGGTTTGAATTTACAACATATATTTTTGGGGGACACAATTCAATCCGTAACACCCTGTTCCCCCACCTTCCACCCCCGCACAGAGTGTGTTTTTATTGCTCTTTCATTAAAAACATTTTTTCTGGTAATTTGGAAAATTTTTATTTATTTTTTAATGACTACATTTATTCTTAGCTTTTTTTTAATGCCTTTCATCTCATTTTCTTATTTAACCTTTAATTATATTGTTTGTCAGTTTTAAATAGTATCCTTTAACTCCCATCTGTCGTGAATGCAATAGTCAATGAGATTATTTTACTTTTTCTTTCCCCTTTTATTTTTTAGTTAAATTATTTAATAGAACGCATAATGTTTAGCAAGATTTCTAATTCAGTAGCATTCATTTGTCATTGTGATAAAGGTTTGTTTGTTTTAAAATGGATGACATTTTTGGAGGATAGTGATGGGGGAGGGGGAAGGATTGAGTGTCTTTCTTTTTCCCCCCTCATCTTGAAACATCTTCAGTTTACCCCTCTTGTTCCTTTTCTCCTTCACCGTGTGATTTCCAAAAGACCTCTCTGACTTCCTTTTTACCCTTTTTTCCTGAAGAATTGTCTTTCCAGGACTGCCTCCGCAGTCCCACGTGCACTCTTAAGTCCTCCGCCTGTGCTCTGCTCTAATCAGAACTCTTTAAAAATTTTTGTATTTAGGGTGAGTTTTCTCTTTTTGGCGGTAAATTTTAGGTCAGTCTGCTTCCCACCTCTCTTCTCCACTTTTCCATATCGCTCTTGCTCTCACTGATGGCTTGCAGCTAGAGTGTGAGAGATAAATAGCTGCGATGTGGTGAGGGTGTGAGTTTTGTGTAGTACATTTGTTCTTTTCTTTTTTTTTTTTGGATGTCTTGAGAGGTTTGGATTTCTTCAGCTACCATTATTTCCTCTGACTTTTTTTTTAACCATCTTCTTTGTGCTTCTTCTTCCAGAGATATTTTTGTTCCTTTTCTATATTTATATCAGTTTTCTGTTCGTTGACTTCCATTAAGAAGTCAGTTGTAAATCAGTTGGTGTGGGAGCTTACAAGTTTTCTGAAAGTCCTGTTTGATAATAACATTTTACAATTTCCCTTTGGTTTAGAATTTAGAAATCCATTTGTCTTTTCCCTAGTGTGTTTTGATTTGTTTGCTACTTCTGTTCTTTGCTATAGATCCCGTTACTTTTCCAGTTTGTTCTTTAATTCCTGGTATTAGCTAGTGCTTGTCATGGTAGCTATTTTAATATCTTTACTATTTTGAGCTTAGTTTGGTCCTTGAGATCCTGCAAAAATTCTAGGATAAATGATTTTTGGTTTGGATGATTTGGTTAAGTTCCATCTACAAATTCTAGCCCGTTTTCTGTGGATTATGATTCCAACACAGTCAGTGCTGTTTGAGTATGTTCTGCATGTGCGCCACCCAGTTGTCAGTCAGGGACATGCGCAAAGATCTCCTTGTCCGACTATTAACTGGGTCTTTGGAATGCAAATGACACCTGATCCATCCGTGTACAGGTTGAGTACGAGCACAGGAGTTTATGAACAGCTTTATGGGGTTACTTTTCTGAGCTCATCCCTGTCCACTATCTCTCTGTCACTTCTCTACTCCCTAGAGCTCCTCGTTTTGATCGGTTGATTATGACTCGAATATAAATCACCTTGGGCTATTGTAAATTTTAAATACAGGCAATTCCCTGAGCTAAGAACTCTGGGTTACAAACATCTGACTTATGGAAAACTTGTACTTCCTTTTAATGTTATGTAAATTTGTCCTCACTTTGAAAGAATTGAACCAACCTGTACTCACAATCACCTTCACTTGCTGCACATGCAGCTTTAAATCATTGAAAAGTCATTGAGCCTTTTCCTACACTAAAGTAAGACTAAATAAGAACCGTATGCACCTATTCTGACTTTCCTACAAATTCGACTTAAAGACAGGAGCGGATCTTGTTTGTAACCCCGGGACTTCTTGTCATTAAAATTGTGATAGTTGTGTGCCTTCAAGTGAAGGAGGAGTACTGACATTAAAGTAGTGGTTTTCTTGTAGTCCCAAGTATACTTTGTAGTCCCTACTGTACTTTAGATCCTGGCAGCCTGAATTACTTTAGGGAAGATAATGTCTTAGCATTTTCAGTGTAGCACTGAGATTTAGTGTTGGGGCCTGTCTTGGTCATCTAGTTCTGCTATAACAGAAATACCACAAGTAGGTGGCTTTAACAAACACAAATTTATTTTCTCACAGTTGAGACTAAACCCATTGCTGTCAAGTCAATTCCAACTCATAGCGACTCTATAGGACAGAGTAGAACTGCCTGATAGGGTTTCCAAGGAGCCACTGGTGGATTTGAACTGCCGACGTTTTGGTGAGCAGCCAATCTCTTAACCACTGTGCCACCAGGGCTCTGTTTAAGAGGCCAGAAGTTCGAATTCAGGGCGCCGGCTCTAGGGGAAGGCTTTCTGTCCTGTTGGCTTTGGGGGAAGGTCCTAGTCTCTTTAGCTTCTGTTTCTTGGTCTTGGGGATCTCACGTGGCGTGGCATATGTCTTCTCTTGCTTCTTGCTTAATCTGCTTTTTCATATCTCAAAAGAGATTGGTTTAAGACATACCCTACTCTAATTTGCCTCATTAACATAACAAAGAAAACCTTTTTCTTAAGTGGGATTATAACCTCAGGCATAGTAGGATATACTTGTTGCCATCAAATCGGTTCTGACTCATAGTGACCCTAAAGTAGGATTTATAGGACATGTTTTTAGGGCACACAGTTCAATCCATATAGGGTCCTTCAGTGTTGTTTACAATCCTGAAGGAAGCTATAGATTGTTCAGGTGGTTTACAGATTCTTTATTGTCCTTTTCTCCAAAGAGTCATATGGGATGGCTTAAGATTTTGGTTATTTTCTTTAGAATTGAATTTAAGAGATTTCATGAGATAACCTGCCTGCTCTATTTTAGGAAATGTTAGTTTACCTGGCTATGACCCACTCTTTATGCCCCTTGAGTGTAAATGATTTAGGGCTAATTTATCTCATATTTAAATCTTGTTCTTGCTTTTTACAGAATACTATCTTCCTTGAGACAGCAAATTCTCAGGACCAGGGAGTGAACACTGCCTTTCTTCCATCTAGATTCTAGGTAAGCTATAGTTTCTTCAGGATTTTGAATTGCACCTTCTCCCTGCCAGACTGCATCTCAGCACAGTAGCTCCCATCCCCTGTGGCTTTCAGTTCCTTTTCCTTTACTGGATAAGGAGAGAAGTAGAGTTCAATGGGGATCCATTTATGCATGCAGCAGATATTTATGAAACACCAACTGTGTGTATACATCCAACATTTTGCATACAATTTCAGAAATTTCATAGGTTATCTAGGAATCCATGGATGCCAAGTAAGAACTTCTGTTTCATGAGATTTACAGGGATTAATTTATTTGTTATTCAACCTGTTAGGTATTTCCTAATATTAGTCTATTCTACAGACGAGGAAACTAAATGGTTAAGTAACTTGTCTAAAGTCGCACAGCTTAGATGATAGAGTCATATGAACCTGTATTTTCTCTCTGAGCATTGGGAATTCTAATAATCATTAACCATTTCCTTTCAAACCTTTCCATAAAAAGGACTGCAGAGATATTCACAGTCGCCTTGGTTTGCGTTCTTCATGAGCAAGCATACTAATTCTCATACCTGTCCTGATTTTTCAGCTGGAGCATGGGGAAGAGCCCCAGGTTTGTAATCACCCAGGTTCACAAAAGAAAGTGTTCTTAATATGGTACTTTCCTCATATGCATTATTGATCAGTTGTATATCAGCACAGAGAAAATGAAATAACTCATTTTAATCCCTGTAAAACCTAGAATAGTTATAGACTCCATGAAGGATTTCTGACTTTTCTGCATTGATTTTAATTTTGAAGCTTCTTTTCTTAGTTATAGGAATATAAATAATATTTCTGCTTTGCTTCACAGGTTTGGAAGTACCAAGTAAGAAATTAGTATATATGATGCTGGAAACTTGTAGACGTGAACTGCCCATGACTAAAAGGCCTGAAGAAAATGTATCTTTCAAGTTCTTATCTAGAAGATAGACTGTTAAGACAATAATGGGTCAAGAAGACCAGTGGAAAACTCCCTAGGAGCGAGCCATAGAAGATGTACACTTCAGAAGAGAGCTGTAATCAGAGAACTCAAAAAAGAAAAATATATCATGTATGCCTTCAGGAGGGTAGACAGATTTTTATTCAAGTGCATAAGATTACTCAAATAGATGATCAGGTACACCAGTGCCTTGAATGTGAGCGAAACTTCTGTGAAAACTTAGCTCTTATTATGTGTGAGAGAACCCATACTGGGGAGAAACATTATAGATGTGATATGTGTGAGAAAACCTTCATCCAAAGCTCAGATCTTGTTTCACATCAGAGGATCCACACTTATGAGAAACCTTATAAATGTAGCAAATGTGAGAAGAGCTTTTGGCACCACTTAGCCCTTTCAGGACACCAGAGAACCCATGCAGGTAAAAAATTCTATACATGTGACATTTGTGACAAGAATTTTGGTCAGAGCTCTGATCTGCTTGTCCACCAGCGAAGCCATACAGGCGAGAAACCTTATCTATGTAGTGAGTGTGACAAATGCTTCAGTCGAAGTACAAACCTCATAAGGCACCGAAGAACTCATACAGGTGAGAAACCATTTAAGTGTCTGGAGTGTGAAAAAGCTTTTAGTGGGAAATCAGACCTTATTAGCCACCAGAGAACTCATACTGGTGAAAGGCCCTACAAATGTAATAAGTGTGAGAAGAGTTACCGACACCGTTCAGCCTTCATTGTACATAAAAGAGTTCATACTGGGGAGAAGCCCTATAAATGTGGTGCCTGTGAGAAATGCTTTGGCCAGAAATCAGACCTTATCGTACACCAGAGAGTCCACACGGGTGAGAAGCCGTATAAATGCTTAGAATGTATGAGAAGTTTTACTCGGAGTGCCAACCTAATCAGGCACCAGGCAACTCACACTCACACTTTTAAATGCCTTGAATATGAGAAAAATTTCAGTTGTAACTCAGACCTTATTGTACATCAGAGAATTCACATGGACGAGAAACCACATCAATGGTCAACCTGTGAGAGTGGCTTCATCCTAGGGATGGACTTCGTTGCCCAACAGAAAATGAGAACTCATACAGAGGAGCTGCATTATAAATACAGTGTTTGCGATAAAAGCTTCCACCAGAACTCAGCACTTCTTCAGCACCAGAGAATCCACATTGGTGAAAAACCATATGTCTGTAATGTGGGTGAGAAGAATGTTGAGCTCAACCCTCCCCATGCATCAGAAGCCTCACAAATGTCTTGACCAGACAAGAAGTTATAATACCATACAAAAATGTATTACATGTCAGAGAACTTCCTAAGATGAAAAACATTAGGCATATCTCAACGGTGAAACAGACTTTCCTCAGAGCTCAGACCTCAGTGGGGACCAGAGAACCAGCAATTGTAGGAAGTATGGGAAATGTTTTGCCCAGAGAGCTGCCCTAACAGAACACCTTACCATTCTCCAATGGGAAACCCTATAGATGCCCTGAGTTTTGGAAAACCTTTAGTCCAAACTCAAATCTGATCACCTACAATAGGATTCAGAAAGGTGGGAAACCTTACAATGCAGTGAATGTGAGAGAGCTCTCTAGCAGTGCTCAATCCTCCTTATTCCAAGAGAGTTCACACAGGAGAACACCTTTTAAATCTCATTGTCAGCAAAGCTTCAGGCAGTGTGCACATCTCATTGGACATCAGAAAACTCACTCTGTGGAGAAGTTCCAACAAGTGTGAGACAAGCTTCTAACAGAACTCTGACTTTCTTACCCATCAGAGAACCCATACTGTTGAAAAATTCTGTATTTGTCTTGAGTGTGCCAAAATCATCAGTTGGAGAACCTAGTTGAATTTGCATTAAAAAAGAAACACTTGTGAGGAAAGATCTTACAAGGGTCTGAGTGAGAAAAGCTTCTGTCAATGATCAGCTCTTGTGGTACACCAGGGAACTCACATAAGTGAAAAACCCTTTAAATACCTTAAGCCTGAAAAAAGCTTTGCTAGAAGCTCTTACCGGGCCCCAACGATCCCACTCTGCAGAGAATTTTGCTCCAGTGAGAGATCTAATTGTGGATGAGAATCTATGTACATATAATACATTCGAGAAGAACTGTTCTCATAGTTCGTTGACACATACAGTAGAGATGACTTTACATGGAATAAGTATGGAAACAGTTTTTTAGATACCCAGAAGCTTGTTCTGGGAGGAGCTAGGACAGGTCAGAGTAGGCCTGATGGGTAACTCAGGTAAAGATGCTTTTTATCTGAACCACTTAATGATTGCTTTACTTACTTTTTTTTAAAATTCAGAAATCAATAAAGGCAAGGACTAACCATGTGATAGAAGGTGTGATATGTGTTACTTTTGGGGGAAAGGAGTATATTGACTTTGCCTATTTTTTTTTTTATTCTTGACTATGATGGGGACTAGTGCATTGATAGTAACATAGGGACTTTTTCTGGCAGTGAAAAGAACTAAGAAACTAGGAAGTAGTCATCCTGGGACAAAACTCCCAATAGTTTCCCCTTTGCAGTTCAAGCCTCATAAAGAGGCAGAATACTCAGCTTTTTACTTAAGTGTAGTTGAGACATACCCTCAGAAGTTTCCTTTTCTTTAAAATACCTTTTAGACCATCACTGATGTTTAGAATTTCAGCCTTAGAGATTCATTTCTTAACTCAGAAATTCAAATTCCAGGATAATAGGATGTTGTTGGTGCCTGTAATTTTATGACTTCATTTATCTTGTCTTTTTTAATGGTAGATACCTGTAGCCATCTTGTAAAATGGTTAGGGGAAGATTGAAAGACAAATTTAAGCCTGGTTGGCACAAAGTAAAGACCACATAATGATGCAAAATTAATGGAGGAGCCAGACTTCCTGATTTTGACTATCCTGACTCCAAAACTAGTTTTCTTTCCACCTCATCCTCCTGCTTATAGCAAATCTAGCCCCACTATGATGTACCTTGCATGTATTCCAGAGAGAATACCTTTTATTCCCAGAGAAAGGATTGCAGTCACCACAGTATAGAGTGTATATTTGGCTTGGAATGCAGGATTCTAATTACTAGGAGAGAAAAGAAGTTGGCAAATTGGAGGTTTAAGGGAAGCACTTGTTTCCAATTTAGAATATTATGGTTATCTTTAACATTCTCTAGAAATACTGTAATTAATCCAGGGATCTATAAGTGTACACTTAAGAGTTTTTTATTCTCTCAGATTAAAAGACATTTAATACAAATATTTCAGATTCCTGCAGAATATAGGACTCTAAACTGGTGAATAAATATTTGTTGCTAGTCTGAGTCCTCAGATTTGGTTTGATTTATCTTAGCAGAGCCCAGAGACCATTGTCATTTGAATTTATGGGAGTTGGCCAACTGCTATGTTGCTACTTTGCATATGGCCCTAAGCTTTGATCCTAATGACTGGTTCTTATTTTCTTAGTGACTGTTGAGCCATGATGATCGTAGTTTTAGGGCCAGTGGATCAAGCTCACAGTGGTAATAAGAAATCTGATTTTCTAGGATGTTATTTCTTTTAGAAAACATCCTGGAAGTTTATTTGAGCTGGTGTGTTTCAGTAATTTTCATAATAGCTCTTGTATCATGAAAGTTGCCCAGTGTGCAAGATACATTTGTTTCTCGTTGGTGAAAATCATGCCTATGACTAGTATATGTTTGACAATTGTAATACTTAAAATAGTATTGGAGATGTGGCATGATGGTGATGGGAAGTAGTGCTTATGGCCACTTATTAGTCATTAGAGGGAACTTGGAGAAGGGAACAAAGTTGGTATCATTAGCAGGGCAATGACTTGCCCCTTCTTTCAACTAATCTTACTGTCTCTAAGTAAATTAGGGATGGACCATCCCTCAAACTGAGAATTTTGGGGGTATGAAACAAGTCTGAGGGCTTTTTAAAAAAGTGTTGGTATTATCCATATAGCATAACCTGAGGTTGGAGAGGACCACTTGGGAGCCTGTAACCAAAACTAGAAGGTAACTTCTGGGATGGATGGAGGTTCTCTTGAAGCAGTGCCAACCTAAATCTACCTCAGGTAAGTAGTTAGAGTAACTCTAAAGATTTCAAACCAAATGAGACACTTGTATCAGTCCATGTATTCCTATGCTTATAATGTTTTTGTTTTCCCTTCATTCTTAAATAAATATTTGTTCTGAAAAACTCCATTTTTGTCTCCACTGTACTAAGAAAAAAAAAATTTCCCTGTATACTTGTGTTCGAATAAAACAAATATCCACGTGACCCTTGGACTTGGTGGTGGTGATAGCCATCAGAGCATCTCTAGAATTCCAGCAGTTTTTGATGCTGAGGCAGAGAGTGAATGGAATCCTGGAGAGAATATTGTCTACTCTCTGCTGTGGACATGGGATCCTTTTGGAGCTTCCCCACTGCATTACATAAGTGTCAGAGGGATGGTAGCTTAAACTGACCGTATTTGGGGCTCTGCTAAAATTCAGTAACAAAACCATCTATGCTTTAATGTGAATAACCAACACCTTTGAAATTAAGAAGGAAGATTTTGATTCTCTTTTTCCCAGCCAGATCCACAGCTGGCTTCCATTCTACCTCTTTCCTCCATGTCTTAATGTTTTCATGAATTTGAGTGGGGTGAGGGAGGTAATTTAAAAATGCTTGCTCTGATTTACCGCTCATTACTCAGGCAGAGATTTGGACTCCAGAGGGGTAAGGGAGGCCGAAGGCAATTTTTGCAGAGGCAGTCCTTTCCCCATCTGGCATAGGAGACTTGAAAAGTAGGGGCATAGGGGTCCCACTGGCAGTGACTGATAACATCAAATTGATGATTAGAGCCTATGGGGGAACAGAGAGGACCTTTTTAGAGTAGCTCATTTGTCTTTTCTACCCATTTTCAAATTCTCTGAAACTCATGTTCCCAGGACTCTTAATTATCTGGCTCTGAAAGTTGCCTTAATATATCTGAAAATGAAGAGAAACCTTTTATATGGAAATTTAAGTGGATCTTCCACATTATTGAATCCAATCTCCTCTAAGTGGGAAGACTTAGTCTTATAGGACCACAGGTTGAAGTTGGAGCTGCTTTGTGAGACAGGAGTAGTAAGGGGGCAATAGAGCTTTATCATGGTTTACTGATGAGGTAGGAGCCCTGGTTGTGCAGTAGTTAACTGGTCGGTTGCTAACTGAAAGGTCGGCTGTTTGAACCCACCAGCCTCTCTGTGGAGAAACGTATGGCAGTCTGCTTCTGTAAAGATTTACGGCCTTGGAAACTTATGGGGCAGTTCTGTTCTGTCCTATAAGGTCACTGTGAATCGGAATCGACTGCAATGGGTTTGGCTTTTTTTTTTGTTTTACTTTAAACCGGACCAGTTATTTCTGCCTGGGCAACTGTGACTGAGCAGGGCACTGATAAGGAAGTTGTATGGAAGGGTCTCTGCTGCATTGATCTGTTATCTCACTGGTGTCTCTTCTGTTGTCCCTCAGTCCGCTTTCTCCAGCCCTCTTCTGCCCCCATAGGATCGTCTACTCCACGAGGAAAAATCTCTGCCAGTCAGAGCCCTCCTGACAACTTCAAAACCAATCTCTTTATCCATCCTGCCTTTCTTCTCTCAAAGGAATAAATGTTCTGACTCCTTTAACATGCCAAAACTTCCACCTTTCCTTCCAATCACATTTTCTTCATCCACCTCTGGAAACTTCTTCTCTTGATTTTTCCTGTCTGTAGATTTTTTTACAGTCATTTTCTTCACTGAGATTTTCCCTTGTGTCTTCAAATATGTATAGATGTCCCTTCATCCCGTTTAAAAAAGAGTTCAGGTTTCCCTTAATATAGTAGTTTTTCTCTTCCCAGAAATCACCAGCTTAAAATGTATACAGCCTCCATTTCTAATTTATCTCCTTAATTTTCTTCCCGGCTGATCTTTCAAGGATCACTAGTGACTTTTGAACCAAAGTGGAAGATACTATCTCCAACATTGCGCGTTACTTGCCTGCATTTATTTTCTGTTCTTAGCGAGATAGTATTGTACTGATTCTTCAACTGTCTTTCTGGTATCTCTTTTTCTTAATTCCTTTTTGGCTTGTTTTTTTCCTATCTCAAAGCATAGGCTATCATCTCCTGCTTTCTTTTCCTCACAGAGCTCATCCATCTGTATTGTATGTCTTCTCCACAAATCTAAATAACCTCCAAACTTTTCTTTCCCCCAAATTCCATGAGATGTTTGGTTGTGCGCAAGCAGCCTCAGCAGCTCCTATTCTTTTTTTTTTTTTTTTGGTCGTCTTTGTAAATATATCTATCACACAACTTTTGCCAATTCAACTTTTTACAGGTGTACAACTTATTGACATAAATTACAATAATCGACTGTGCAACCATACCCTTAATAAATGTGATTTTTCCATCGTTAACCCCCTTTTTCCCCTGCCTCCCTATCTGGTAATCACTAATAAACTTTGTTGTCTGTACATTGGCCTTTTCTTGTCTTTTTATATAAGTGATTACCTCCAAACTCTTTTTTGTTTTTTTTAAATTATGCTTTAGGTAAAAGTTTACAGAGCAAATTAGTTTTTGATTCAACAACTTATACACGAATTGTTTTGTGACATTTGTTGTAATCACTGTGATGTGTCAACACTCTCCCCTTCCCTACCCCTGGTTCCCCAATTCCAACTGTCCGTTTTTCCTGTCCCTTCCTGCCGTGTCATTGCTGCTGGGCAGGTGTTGCCCATTTGGTGTCGTATACATGATTGAACTAAGAAGCATGTACCTCAGGTGTGTTACAGTTTGTCTTATAGACCTAATCTTTAGCTGAAAGGTGAACTTTGGGAGTGGCTTCAGTTCTGAGTTAAAACGGTGTCCAGGGGCCATAGTCTTGGCGGTTCCTCCAGTCTCTGTCAACCTCCAAACTTGCTTCCTAAAGTGCTCATATTAATTTTTTGAATCTTTTCTGCTAAATGTGCCAACCAGGTAAAAATCCAACTTTTCCATTTTTTCTGGTCCCTGTCAACCATTGACTCATATCCTGAATTCTCCATTAGGGTTGACAGCACCACCTTTACTGAGCCAAGAATCATCTGTGACTCCTCTTTTCTTACAGTCTCTGTCACCAGGTCCTATCATATTTTCTTCATGTTTCTCACACATATTCCTTCATTTTCATTCTTAGAACCAGTCTAGTCCAGTACCTTGTTAATTTGTCTTGATTTTTGCAATAATCTCAATTTTCTTTCCTCTTTCTCTCCAGTCCACCCTACTCAGTCTTAGTTATCTAGTGCTGCTATAACAGAAATACCACAAATGGAAGACTTTAACAAACAGAAGTTTATTCTCTCACAGTCTAGGAAGCTAGGGTTCTGAATTCAGGGTACCAGCTCCAGGAGAAGGCTTGCTGTCTCTGTCAGCTGTGGGGAAAGGTCCTTGTCATCATTCTTCTCCTGGTCTAGGAGCTTCTCAGCGTAGGGGCCGCAGGTCCAAAGGACACTCTCTGCTCCTGGCGCTATGAGGTCTCGCCATCTCTGCTTTTATATCTCTGATACCTCAAAAGATACTCGACACAACCTAATCCTGTAGATTGTATCCTGCCTCGTTAACATAACTGCCTCTAATCCTGCTTCATTAACATCATAGAGGTAACATTTACAACACAGAAAAATCACATCAGATGACAAAATGGTGGACAATCACACAATATCAGGAATCATGGCCTAGCCAAGTTGATACACAATTTGGGGTTACACAATTCAATCCATAACATTCCACCCTTTGGCCCCCAAAAATTCATATCCTTGACACCCCGTCATATCATAGCAAAAGTCTTAAATCAATTCCAAGTCCAAAATCCAAAAATTCCTCTTCATCTGTGAAATCTAGAATACAAGTTACCTGCTTCCAGAGTACAATGGTGGAACAGGCACAAGCTAGACATTTCCGTTACAAATGGGAGAAATTGGAGGGAAAGAAAGGGTAACAGATGACAAGCAAGTCAGCGGAACACATTTCATTAACTCTCAAGGCTTGAGAATAATCCTCTGTTCTCTGAGACCATTCAGGCAGTGGCCCTGCCCTCCAGAGTTTGGGAATTGGCCACTGGATTTTGGGTGAAGGTCACTCGGCCCTGGGCTTCAGCTCTGCTTTACAGGCCCACTGGGACAGCAACTATGCTCCCTCGCACCTGGGCAGCTCCGTTCTCCTAGTCCATCTGGGTGGTGACCCTTCTCCCTCATTCCCAGCAGGCCCTGTTCTTCTGTCCCTTGGGCATGGCAGCCCCACCTCCTCAGCTTTGGGCAGTGGATGTGGCCCCATCCCGCTGGCACTCGTGAATGGCAGCCCCACACTCTGGAACAGAGTTGGTGAAGATCTGATTCTTTGAAACACCAGAGACCACGGCTGCACTGTTTGAGACCCCACAGGCCATAGCTCCACCCTTTGAAACCCCAGAGGTCATGCTCCTACCCTTTGAGATCGCTGTAGCTCTGCTTCCTGTGTTCCTTGTCTCTTCAGCTTTGGCTTCCTGGTTCCTTGGCCCTTCAGTGGGCCTCACGGCCTGCTGCCCTGCTGGGCAAGTGTTCCAAAGCTGTGTAGCTCCACCGATAAGTGACTGGAGGCACCCCACTCTGCCAGTAAACTTCTGCCAGAAAGCACTCTGCTCTCTTGCACTGGGTCAGCAAGTCTAGCTCCACTCTGCCAGGGAGCCTCCTGCACAAAGGCACTCAGCTCTCTCACTTCATGGGTCGCTACTGGTTCTGCTGCTGCTTCCTGTCATCTGCACCATCTCCAGTGTAACAGCTCTCCTCATTTCCTTCTGTGTCCTCACTGGAATTGTCTTCGGTGTCCATAATTCCACCAACAATCTCTTCAAGGCAATCTCGGCTTTTACTATCAGGCACTTTAAAGTTCTTCCAGCCTTCATCCATTCACAGTTTCAAAACTGTTTCCACATTTTAGGTATTTATTAGAGCAGCACTGCACTCTTCTGTTACCAAATTCTGTCTTAGTTATCTAGTGCTGCTGTAACAGACATACCATAAGTGGATGGCTTTAACAAACAGAAGTTTATTCTCTCATAGCCTAGGAGGCTAGAAGTCCAAATTCAGGGTACCAGCTCCAGGGGAAGGCTTACTCTCTCTGTTGGCTCTGGAGGAAGGTCCTTGTCATCAATCTTCCCCTGGTCTAGGAGATTCTCAGCACAGGGAC